AAAAGAGATATTTTCTTTTAAATTTGTGAATAAATTAATTATTGGGAAGTGTAAAGCTAATGATAATTAAGGGGTTAATGTCAGAAAATAGACAGAGTTCATGGGTCAAAATATAATTTTTCCTTGTGCTCTCAAAGATCAAAAATTTTAATTTATACCCTTAAAACTAGAAATTTGTTTCAATACACACCTGAAACTAACCTCGTTTGCTGTCTAAAACTAAATGAATAAATTACACATAAATTTCTCATACTTGTCACTTAATCATTTAGACCTCCTCACATTTAAAATATTACTCCTACACTCCCTAACATTTGTACGCATGTAACACATAACCTTTCGTCGTTGATATCTGTTACTATAACTGTCAAAAAATATTATTTCACCCTAATAGAAAATTATAATTTTATACTACTATTTATTCTATGAGTCTGTTATACTTTAAAGTTTAAAATCAAGTTTATCATTTGATAGTCTAATATAATATAGGTATTTATATAATATTCTTTATATTTAATACAATACATCACTTAAATAAAATTAATTGAATTTCCAATTGGGAAAACATTTTTAGACATATTTGGATTCTCAAGAAATGGAGGAATAATATTTCAAATGTGATGGATCCAGGTGCTTAAGTGATAAGTTTGAGGGGTCTAGATGTAATTTATCTATTTGAGGGGTCTAGAATCTATATGTACCTTTTCAGGTTGATTGTCGTGACACAATTGCTAATATAGGGAATATTATACTTCTGGTAGAATTTGGTAACCCTAGACATGTATAGGGAATATTATACTTTAACCCTTCAATTATGCCCTCAAACTCAGAATGTCCTTTAAACTATTAAATTTCCTACATCACCCTCCCGAATACTTGATTTAGTTTCCTATTACCCCAATACAAGCATGTGTGATTTTTAAGATACAAAGCATCCACCTATCAATAAAAGATACTCACAGACCAAAAAGAGATATTTTCTTTTAAATTTGTGAATAAATTAATTACTGGGAAGTGTGAAAGTAATGATAATTAAGGGGATAATGTCATAAAATAGTCAGAGTTCATGGGTCAAAATATATTTTTTCCTTGTGCATATCGATAATACTCCGGGAGGTTTAATTGCAAATTACACTTCAACATGTATTTGAATTTCAATTTGCACTCCCAAAGATAAAAAATCTTAATTTGCATCCTCAAAATAAAAAATTTATATCAATACACACCTGAAACAAACAACATTTGCGTGTAAAATTAAATGGATAAATTACACTTAAATATTTTCATATTAGTTACTTAATCATTTTGACCCTCTCACATTTAGAATATTACTCCAACACCTTTTAAAGTTTATGCGCGTATAACACATAACCGCTCGTCATTAATATTTGTTACTATAACCGTCGAAAAATATGATTTTATCCCAATAAAAAATTATAATTTCATATTACTATTTATTATGTGGGCCTGTTAATCTTTAAAGTTTAAAATCAAATTTATCATTTAAATGCTCAATATAATATAGATATTTATATAATGTTCTTTATATATAATGCAATATATCACTTAAACAGAATTATTTTAATGTCCAATTAGAGAAACATTTTCAGACATATTTAGATTCTCAAGAGATGTAAGTATAATATTTCAAATATGAACGGTCTAAGTGATTAAGTAATAAGTACGAGGGGTGTAAATATAATTTAAAATTAACCCATACATCTATAATCTATATAAATTAGAACTTCAATAAATTCAACTCATTCAATCCCTCTCAAAATGGGTTATCCTAATATGCGTGTGTTTATATATATATATTATATCTCATATCTATAGCTTTTTAATTCCCGTGAAACTCGATTACTCTATATAATACGACCTTACGGTTTCCCCAATCCGATTTCCAAGGAACAAATCTCCGATCATATCACGGTGATCTCTCTGTTTTCTATTCCGGTGAGTCTCTTCTCTTGTTTCGCTGTATACGTCTCACACAAAAAACGTAGCTCAAAAGACAACCTTTTCTCTCGAACAAAACTTTGCGTGATGGATAAAAGGAGAAGAATTTCATTGTTAGTTTCTTCTATTTCTGTTTCGTGTAATTTGGATTACCAAAAATTGAACTCTATGGGACTTATTTGATTCATATATCATGTTGTGAATAATTTTGTTTAATTGTCGCTGTAGTTTTAGAATTGTATGCAATTCATATAACATGTTTAAGCTCTCTGGAAAGCTGAGTTTTTACCTGAAAATTTCATCTTTTTAATGAATTATGCGTTAGTGTTTGGGTCAGTCCTATGATTTTCTACATACATGCATAGAAGTATTCATATTTTAATCTGTGTATAACTTTTGTATAGCCAAGCCCCGGTCTTAACTTATGTTTTTTATCTTAATCAAAGGCTTCNCTGTCTAATATAATATAGGTATTTATATAATATTCTTTATATTTAATGCAATATATCACTTAAATAAAATTATTTGAATTTCCAATTGGGAAAACATTTTTAGACATATTTGGATTCTCAAGAAATGGAGAAATAATATTTCAAATGTGATGGATCCAGGTGCTCAAGTATAAGTTTGAGGGGTTTAGATGTAATTTAATCTATTTGAGGGGTCTAGAATCTATATGCACCTTTTCAGGTTGATTGTCGTGACACAATTGCTAATGAAATCTGGAGTCGTAACCTATATTTATATATACATGGTGGGATTTGGAAGCCGGTACGAGAATTTGGCAAGGATTGGAGTTCTGTGGGGCCGAACTTCATTCTTCTGGTAGAATTTGGTAACCCTAGACATGTATAGGGAATATTATACTTTAACCCTTCAATTATGCCCTCAAACTCAGAATGTCCTTTAAACTATTAAATTTCCTACATCACCCTCCCGAATACTTGATTTAGTTTCCTATTACCCCAATACAAGCATGTGTGATTTTTAAGATACAAAGCATCCACCTATCAATAAAAGATACTCACAGACCAAAAAGAGATATTTTCTTTTAAATTTGTGAATAAATTAATTACTGGGAAGTGTGAAAGTAATGATAATTAAGGGGATAATGTCATAAAATAGTCAGAGTTCATGGGTCAAAATATATTTTTTCCTTGTGCATATCGATAATACTCCGGGAGGTTTAATTGCAAATTACACTTCAACATGTATTTGAATTTCAATTTGCACTCCCAAAGATAAAAAATCTTAATTTGCATCCTCAAAATAAAAAATTTATATCAATACACACCTGAAACAAACAACATTTGCGTGTAAAATTAAATGGATAAATTACACTTAAATATTTTCATATTAGTTACTTAATCATTTTGACCCTCTCACATTTAGAATATTACTCCAACACCTTTTAAAGTTTATGCGCGTATAACACATAACCGCTCGTCATTAATATTTGTTACTATAACCGTCGAAAAATATGATTTTATCCCAATAAAAAATTATAATTTCATATTACTATTTATTATGTGGGCCTGTTAATCTTTAAAGTTTAAAATCAAATTTATCATTTAAATGCTCAATATAATATAGATATTTATATAATGTTCTTTATATATAATGCAATATATCACTTAAACAGAATTATTTTAATGTCCAATTAGAGAAACATTTTCAGACATATTTAGATTCTCAAGAGATGTAAGTATAATATTTCAAATATGAACGGTCTAAGTGATTAAGTAATAAGTACGAGGGGTGTAAATATAATTTAAAATTAACCCATACATCTATAATCTATATAAATTAGAACTTCAATAAATTCAACTCATTCAATCCCTCTCAAAATGGGTTATCCTAATATGCGTGTGTTTATATATATATATTATATCTCATATCTATAGCTTTTTAATTCCCGTGAAACTCGATTACTCTATATAATACGACCTTACGGTTTCCCCAATCCGATTTCCAAGGAACAAATCTCCGATCATATCACGGTGATCTCTCTGTTTTCTATTCCGGTGAGTCTCTTCTCTTGTTTCGCTGTATACGTCTCACACAAAAAACGTAGCTCAAAAGACAACCTTTTCTCTCGAACAAAACTTTGCGTGATGGATAAAAGGAGAAGAATTTCATTGTTAGTTTCTTCTATTTCTGTTTCGTGTAATTTGGATTACCAAAAATTGAACTCTATGGGACTTATTTGATTCATATATCATGTTGTGAATAATTTTGTTTAATTGTCGCTGTAGTTTTAGAATTGTATGCAATTCATATAACATGTTTAAGCTCTCTGGAAAGCTGAGTTTTTACCTGAAAATTTCATCTTTTTAATGAATTATGCGTTGTTAGTGTTTGGGTCAGTCCTATGATTTTCTACATACATGCATAGAAGTATTCATATTTTAATCTGTGTATAACTTTTGTATAGCCAAGCCCCGGTCTTAACTTATGTTTTTTATCTTAATCAAAGGCTTCTTGTTGTACTGGAAGATGAGTCCTTTAAACTAGCAGCACTCAAATTATAATCAAAGCTGTATGTATGCTAATGAGAGCAGGTTTTTAGACAGTTCAAATTTGATATTTTTCAGAAATTTTACCCTAAAATTTGAGGGGGCATCCAAGAAGATTGTTTTTAATATTTGCATTCGCCAATTTGCGGCCCCCGGTAGTAGTATTTTGTACTAAATTCAAATAAGAAAAACCTTCCTTGTCTTGTAGCAAAATTGGAGTTTTTCTCTATCAAATTGTGCTGTGCAGAAAGTTAGAACAGTTTATCCTCTTAACTTCAGGGTTTTTGCTAGCATTATATTACGTCCCAAAAAGCTTATATGCATACCTATGTTGGCTATATTTTGATGAATCAACCTACACATGTATTGCTTTGGCTTGGTAGGGGTCGCCCTTTGAATCCTTACCTGGTGGGTATCATTATTGATCTTCTTGGACAAACTTAATTAAAGTTGTCAATTGTCATACTTTTGAATTATTTGAGTTTTTGGATTTCTTTTTCTCAACATCTGTTATCATGGAATGGCAGGGCAAGGCCAATTCTAGAAGATATTGCTTGAATTTCAAATGTATGGCAGACACACTAGTTACAGTCGATGAGACTAATAAAGGGAACACAAAAGGGGAAGAGAGAACATGGTCTGAACTACTACCGGAACTTCTATGTTCAATACGATCAAGCCTTTTTGCAGGAGACTCCATTATCTTTGGTGCTGTCTGTAAATCTTGGCAATTGATTCCATTCCCTCAGCCACTCCTCATGCCAATTCATGATTCTCTATCAATCCAGTCACCATGCTTGATGTTCTTCAGTAGAAAGAATTATGTGTTTAATTTTTTTGATCCAATACGAACTGCTACATATCAGGTGGACATTCCAAAATTAGTAGATGCCGATATCCGTTTCTCGAAGGATGGTTGGCTGATCATGTGTCAAGGTAGACAAACTATTTTTCTCTTTAATCCCTTAACAAAGGAGAAAATAGAGCTTCCGGATATACCCGAGTGCACGGCGTTCACTACAGTGTGCTTCTCTAACCCACCGACTTCATCAAATTGTCAAGTGTTTGGTATCCAATCTTATAGTCATCATTCAGTCACCATTGGCATTTTAAAAGTTGGTGAGGAGGTTTGGACAGTCGATGACGTTGAAAATAATTGTAATTTCAAAGTGACCGATTGCAGTCCTGTTATGTGTAATGGGTTGTACTACTGTTTGGGTTTTGCCGGAAACTTTGGAGTATTTGACCCTGAGGACAATAGTTGGACCATCTGTGGCAAGCGTCACCGACAACTCAAAAGATCAGAACAAAGGTTTCTGATTGAAAGTGATGGAGATTTGTTTGCAGTGTTTGCTTCTCGTGATGGAAGACAGGCTTGTGTTCTTAAGCTTGATTTTTTGGACAAGGCTTGGCATGAGGTACAAAGCTTGGGAGATAGAATGTTGTATGTTTGTTACCGGGGATCGTTCTCAAAAAAGGCTGTTGTGCGAGGAACTAGTAACAAGATCTACTTTCCAAAGTTTTTTGACAGCAACGGAGTGTTCTATTCTCTTACGACTAGGAAATTCCACACCTTTTTTGGTAATTATTCTAGGGGAGATTTTTACGGCACAAAAGAGATGAAGCACTGCGCTTGGATTAATCCCATGCCTTCAATGAGAATGTAAGCCAGATATCAGTTGGTGAGAATTGGAGGCCACTCTAAGCTGGTGTGGTCATTTTGACTTCAATGAGCTAACGGTTAATTTGTATAATTCAATCGTTTATGCTTTTCTAGTTCTTTTGGTTTTCCATGTGACATGATTTGATGTGTTTTTTGGAAGCCCATTGGTACATTGATTTATCATTTTTAACAATGGGATTGAAAAGGGTAATTGGTTGGGTGGGTTTGGATTAGGCCGGTTTATAGGTAAGAGATGTTTGAATGAGACAAGTGCAACGAAGGAGAGGGAGGACAAGCCATAAATTTCGAACATACNCGTTTATGCTTTTCTTGTTCTTTTTGTTTTCCATGTGACATGATTTGATGTGTTTTTTGGAAGCTCATTGGTACATTGATTTATCATTTTTAACAATGGGATTGAAAAGGGTATTTGGTTGGGTGGGTTTGGATTAGGCTGGTTTATAGGTAAGAGATGTTTGAATGAGACAAGTGCAACGAAGGAGAGGGAGGACAAGCCATAAATTTCGAACATACCCTCGCTCCTATTTTATATTTCTACATGGTAAATATATATTTCTTCTTAGTTTTAATCAGGTAGAATTCTAGTTGAGCTTGAATTTATATATTTTAGCTGGCTTCAAGTTTCGCTTTTAACTCGAGTTTTGCTCAAAGTTAATTCAAATTGAAATTCTTTTGCCCAATTTCATCATAACTATTAAAAATCTTAATCAAACAACTCAATTTTTTCAGGTTAAATTCGAATTTGAGGTTCACTAGACTAAAATGTCAAAACAACAATGCTACTCCTTTTGGAGATCAACAACATTACTTATATTATCACGCCACGACTCTATATAAAATGTTAAGCTATGGCATATACATATAAATAAATTGTACTATGTTAATATTTTAAGACAGTATCCTAATAGCATTAGTGTAAACACAAAAGTGTAAATTTCACTCACACCCATGTTGAAAGTAAATTTAGTGTTAAATTAAAGAAATGATATTAATTTACTAAAATTAAATTATAATTTAGTATTGATTGATGAAAATGAAGGTTACTTTGAGATTAAATTAAGAAAATGATGTTAATTTGATAAATTAAATGTTAAATTGATGGAATCAAATGTAAATATGACAGAATTAATGGTTAATTTTGTGTTAATTTGATAAACTTTAATATCTATTTGATCAGATTGAATGTTAACTTAATTTGATAAAATTGAAGATCAATTTCATGTTAATTTGGTAATTTGATGAAATTAAAGTTCAATTTAATAAATTTTAAATTAAATAAATTGAATTTTAATTTGACAAAATTAAATTTAAAATGTTAATTTGATGAAATTGAATATGAATTTAATTAAATAAAATATTAATTTGATGTTAAATTGATGAGATTAGTGTTAATATGATGAAATTAATATTTGAATAAATGAAATTAAATATTAATTTGATGAAATTCAAATTCAATTTGATGTTAATTTAATGAAACTAAATTCTAATTTAAATAAATTGAAAGTTAATTTGACTTTAATTTGATGAAATTCAATTTTAAAATGTTAATTTGATGAAATTGAATTTGAATTTGATGAAATTTAATATTAATTTGGTGTTAAATTGATGAATTTAGTGTTAATGTTATGAAATTGAATATGAATTTGATGAAATTAAATATTTATTTGGTGTTAAATTGATGAAATTAACGTTAGTGTGACAAAATTAATATTTAAATTAATAAAATTAAACGTCAATTTGATTAAATTGAAGTTCAAATTGATATTAATTTTATGAAACTAGTTAATTAGATATTAATTTTATGCACATGTGAGTAGAGATTTTTAATCTATGCATATAATATAAGTAAAGGTTAAACATGTAAAATGATGTGATATATCAAGGGTAATTTTGTACAAGACCACTTTCCATCCACTTACCGTTACTCAGTTACTTGACAATTATTGATCAGGGGCGTCAGTGATATTTTAAAAAACATAGGGAGAGTTTCTAAAATTACGCTTATATATAAAGGATGTTAGTGAAATTTATCCTAAAAAAAGATCTTTTGAAATACAATTACAGGACTTTTCAAGGGTATTTAGTGCTACATATTTAGTGGATTTATTTTAGAATTTTACATTTCTTTGTGTTAGATTTGATGTCATTTTTAAATTACTTTGTTTACAATACACTAAATGACAAAAAAATAGAAAAGGCAGGAGTACTTCATTATCTGAAACAAATTATAACCATAGTTGACTTGCTAAATTTTCTTGTTTAAATATAGTTTTGCTTCTTTATAATATTTAAATATTCTTGTTTAATCTTCGGATTCACTTCTAGTCTCACCCCCTTTCGAGCACATAAAGTGTTTGTTGAAATGCCTCAAAAACTAGTTTTCCTTGCTCGAGTTGGAACATCCATCTTTCCACATGTCTTTTCTTTTTTCCTCTCCTCCTCTCTCTTTCTCTCACACAGTCACACGTCGTCGCCAACCATAGTCCCACCCTCTTTCCTTGCACATTAAGTGTTTGTTCTTTCCCATAGGTTGTTTCCCACTAAGAGGAATCACTTTTGAACAGACCCATCTTCTCATTGAGAAATCACTTTCGAATGGGCAGGTAATTAGCATTATGGAAGTAGAATTGGTTGATTTGTTTGCTGAAAAGATGGTGCATGAGAGGTGCTTGATAGAATAACTGATAAAGAATGATAAAGTAGAATCGAACTTTATAGTATATTGGGCAAACTTAACGTTAGTAAATTTGAAAGGAGCTAAGATTTATAGACTAGAACTGAAAGGGCAAAAACCAGTTTATGTGAATTAGTGTTGCTGGAGTTGGGGATGAAGTGGTTGCTTTGGTGCTCCCAAGTCAAGAAAATGGTAAACGTAGAAGTGGAAGAACAATGAGTGTGACCTACCTGATATTGAGACCCAACTCACCTTCTTATTTTAATTGCTGAAAATTAAATTTGTTTAGTGTAAGTCTAGATGTCACTCATATTAACATTTATATTATTTTTTTATTATTACATCTCAAATCATTTAATTCTATATGTTAATTGTCGTTTATCAATACTTGATATACTTAACAAAACACATCAACGTGGGTTAGTGGCATGACAATATAATTTGCATCATAATTTTGTTGTGAATTATGATGCGAATTAGTTTCTATATTAACATGAATCAAAATTTAAGTTATGGAAAAATTTCATTATTGGCCAACTGAGTTTCGAGTAATGTTTTTTGTTGAAGTGTAATTGTAGGTTTTCCTAAATGTTGAATTAATTTGAGTTGACAAGTAATTCATGGGATGCCTTTTTTTTTTATTAGTTAGAATGTCAGATACTTGAATGATATATGAGTTGATCTAATAAGTGGTGTTTATAATTCGAGAAGCGAAATGCTGGTTAATTTATGGGAGTTGCATTCTATTCTTATGTCAAATGTTCGAGTTTTGGTTCCACCAATAGGTGCCAAGATGTGGTGTAGGTTGGATTGTTTTAGCTATGAGCGAAGGTTGTAAGGTTTTTATTGTGGTTGAAGGGGTTGTGGTGTTTATGGTTTGTAATTTTAAAAGGTGAGACAGTGATTGGTTGAAAATGGGTTTATTTGGTATATAGTTGGTTGCTAACCAATGCCCCTCTCTCTCTATCTCTCCCTCTCATGTCTGTGGTTATGGTTGGGTTGCACTTGACAAGTGATTAAAATGATTGGTTTGATTACCAATGTAGTAGCAAGATTATATTTGTAAAATCATTCAATTTTTCCTCAATTTCTTACTCTCGTATTGATTAACTATGAGTATGTGCCCTTGTCATTACATTCCTTGTGTGACTAATGTTCACATTGCGTATGAAAGAGTTTTTTTTATGGATGGAGAACTCAAACTTATAGTTTATCTTCACAGGTTTTAAGTGTTCCAATTAACTGTTTTCTCTTTGCTAAATGTTTTATCACATAAGAATTATTTCTCTTCATAGGTTTTAGAGATTAAACTAACAGTAGATAATTATTTTTTTTTGTTGCATAAGGAGGGTATTTATTTAATTTTTTTTAGACTTGCTTAAACTATGTGATACTTTCTCTTACTATGAAATTGTGTTACCTATTTGAGCTAAGTAGTTTCAGTAGATTGGAGGCTTAGATGACTCCTTGAATTATGAATGATGACACCTGCAGTATTTTAAACTTTAGAGTTTGATTTGTAGGAATATTATACTTTTGTTGTTTTAGAATCTTCCGAACATTAGTTTGTTTTTGCTTATTCCTTTTATGTCTACTGTGATTTTTTTTTTCAGTTGCGTTGCTAAACTGTTGAATTATAGTATTTTTTCTTTTATTTTGATTTTGGGTTTGGTATGACAGAATTAACTAGATCAACAAAGAATTGAAAATTTGGTAACTTTGTTACTAATTGTTGTTGAATTTTTTATATAACCTTGCGAGCTTTTTTTTATTAGCATGCTATTACTGAGATGAATAATTGATAATTTTGCATCATTTGTACGTCAAAATGAGCATGGTGTACATTATTGTGAGCCCCTTTTGCTTTATTACCATTTTTAACGATTGTTGTAGTTCAATTTTTACTTTCGATTGACGATAGTCGGGACAATTCACGATTGTTGGTTTTTTTTTTATAAGTACATTTTGTTTCCTTAGCCTGCATCATTAATAAAACATAGTATCTTAATGTTGAAATTTGAGACTTTCTTGGCTGGAAGTATTTTCATGTGTTTGAGATATTTAAGTACTAATAAATTTATGATTGCTTAAAAGCAAGTTGTTTTGTTAATCTTCTTTTTAATTTTGTATTTGTTTATATATTTTATTTTTATTTTTAATTTTATTGACGTGCTTGATCACATCTATTTTGAGTTGAAAAATTAGGTATTATTGCATTTAGTTATTTGCATTTCTTTCGCTATGTTTCCTTACTTTTGAAAATTTATGTTTGAATTTGGAATTAATTTTTTTGGTGGTTGAATTTGGTTGGTTTCTTTATATTATTGGTTGATACTAAGCCTCTGTGTCCTCTTTGGATTGTGTAATTACCGTTACGCGTGGATTAAATATTGGTTATTTTTTATATACAACATAACACGGTGCTTTTCGACACAAACATTTCTTTTACTAACCTTGCAAGTTGATTTTTAAATAAATATTTTTGAGCGCTATTGTTAG